TTGATTTTAATAGTTTATTAATCATTCAATAACTCATTCTGAATGATCTTAAAATCTTCTAACTACTCTTAAATACAAATAGTTTGTAAATAATGTGATACTTAATTTATTAATGAAAAATTAACCAGTCACAAAGTTTGAAAGTACAATTAAGCATATTATAAATGGGATTCTATTACAAAGCCACCATATTTACCTTATTCTTCGTGTATGAGTGGGTGCAGCTATTTGAATCTTTTTGGCTCGATACTTCCACTCTCATTCACTTCCATTTATTTTTAGACATTAAAAACAGCTTGTTACGCTGCTTGATGTTGCAAACTGATATTTTCTTATTATATAATTATGCTTTTTCTGTATAATCATGCAAACTTTGTAGAGCAAGTAGATGTGCAAGAATTAACCGATTTCACTATTAACCACGATTTAAATCGTCAAGATTAATTAATCGTAAAGGCTTCTCAACACCGCAGCACGGAACAAAACTGCTGCAACTAAACAAGGTTATGCCTACTGTGCGCTAGTTTAAGGTTCTGAGCTTGTACACCGAGGTTAACACACAAGCACACAAGGTTTAACTATAGCTGAAACTATAAACTAAGGGTCGTTCACATTTTGCATCTTTTGCACGCGCAAATTCTCTTCCAATGGAGGCGCACAGCTTGTGCTCGCATATTGGGAGCGATGTCTGCTTTTTATACACATTTCTACCCACATCCAAAAATAAAAAATAATAATACCAAACATTTTTGTAATATGGTTGATCTAAAGTTTCAGACAGACATCCAGCAGTCTTTGACTACATTTGTTCTCTTTAAAAGGGAAATACATTTACATGAGAAAATACATATTATAGATTTACATTAAATACAATGAAAAAAACAAAAAATACTGTTTATTTATTTATTTATTTATTTGTTCATTTGTTTATTTGTTCATTTATTATTTATTTGTTTATTATTTATTCATTCGTTTGTTTGTTTGTTTGTTTGTTTGTTTAGTAATTATTTATTTGTTTATTCATTTATTTAGTTGTTCATTTATTCATTTTTTTTCAGTTTAAAATTATTACTTGTTTAAATGACAGAAACTTTTTTCACTTATTTTTAAGTCCAAAGAGAAATGGACTATTGTTTGTTCATTATTATTATTTTGTGTTGTACAGTTTTATTTGGTTACTGAGCAACAATAAATAACACTTTAAAGTATAAGGAGTTTCATGTGATTTTAGAAAGTAGTAGTTTTAAAATCAATTAATCCATAATAACCATGAAACAGTGATTATTCCTCAGACTATAATCGTACAACCAAAAATTATAATCGTTGCATCCCTAAGAGCAAGTAGTTTGACTGTTTTTTGTGGTTTATTATTCCTAGTCATTTATCCCATAGGCAGCTGAATCCGAAGTTCTAAAACAAGCGCAAAAACAAGCACAATTCCGCACTGAAGAATAAAGTCAATACTGAGACATGAGACAAGTGAGACTGAGACAAGTTATAAATTAAATCACTTGTTGAGAGAGAACTTAAACAATGAGCAATATTTGAGTAATTTTTTTTTTTTTTTTTTTTTTTGCAAAATTCATTATAAACACAAACAAATGTGACATGGAGTAAAAAGTTAATATTTATGATATATCTAAGTCAAGGGTTTTAAGCTCAGTTTATGTAAGGCTGCAGCCCGGCACAGTTTAGTTGCAACCCTGCTTCAATACACTTACCTGTAGGTATAATACTAGCCTGAATGACTCAATTAGTTTTATCAGCTGTGTTTAATTGGGGTTAAAGCTAAACTGTGCAGAGCTGCGGCTGTCCAGGAACTGAGTTTGGCACATGTGATCTAAGTCAAAACACTTAGAATCAAACACTTAGAAATAAAGGTACAAGAGCTTTCATTTAGATGGTACCTGTTCAGAAGATTCACTTTTGTGCTTTTGAATACTAAGATGTACCTTTCAAGATACCAATATGGATGATTTTGGTACATACATGTTTTAAAAAGGTAGCACCTATAGGTGACAGCTCCCGTAACAATAATTTCTCAAAGTGTATGGTTAAAACTCACACATTAACTTAAAAAAAAGAATCAGCACGCTAATAATCGTATTACAAATTTCTGACATACAGAAACCACACACTACATACTGACATACTAAAACCACTCATACTAACATGTAGTCTAATCTCATATACAAATCTGATATACAATAAAACATATTTTTATTTAATTATTGTCTATAAAATTGCATTTGTTTTCAATAATACATAAATGAAAAATATTAATGTTTTTTTTTTGTTTTATATGTGGATTACTTTCCAAATTTTGACATGCTCAAAAGACTGCAGAAATGTTGCCTAAACATAAAAAAGAGAGGCCTCATTTTCAAATATAAATTTAAACCATGTGTATATGTATACCATACTGTAATTTTTGTTATGTAGCAGATTTGTAGATTTCTGCTTGTAGTAATAATTTTAAATTCACCTCTCTTTACAAGTCACAGCTGCATTCAAAATGGCATAAATGTATTCGTAGTGCACAAAGAAGGAACTACAACTGTCTCTGAAGATCATTAAACTAACTTCAAGATCAAATTACTTAAAATATGAGAAAGACAAGCTCTTAGAACCATTTAAAGTGGATGGTTGGAATGGAGTACGGCAGGATAACTCGGAAAAGAACTATGATTCTAACTACAGTTCTAGAAGTTCCAATCACACAGTATTGTGACACTGTTTGTAATGACATTATTTAATCTTAGTTGGCTAATGGTTTTGGGATACAAACCTGAGCCATAAATTAATCTTTAATCTAAGTACAAAAATAAACTAACATTAAAAAAAGTTTTACCATAAATGGAAATTGTGTCATCGTTTACCTGTGACTTGTTCCAAACAAGTTTAGGGTATATTTGAAAACAATTGAAGATATATTGAAAATGCTGGAAACTTGTGCCAATGACTTCTATAATGTTTGCTTTTCCTACTTGTATTGTGGATTTTCAACACTAAAAAAAAACAACAGCAAAAACTGTTTGGACAAAAAAAAAAAAAACTGGTTTGGAACAAGTCTTTGTTCAGTAAATGATTTCTTGAAAACATACAGCAAATCCTGCAAAAAGCCTCAACACATCACTATTTTACACGCATCACTTTGGGACTGGATGAAGGGCTGAGAAAATGTGTGCATCAATAAAGAAAAAAAAGAGGGCCCTATATACACCCGGCGCAATGCGGCGCGGCGCAAATGTTATTTGCTAGTTTGCTAGGCGTTCTGGTCTAAAACGGAAGGCGTTCTGAGGCGCACTGCTGGCGCGTTGCTATTTTGAGTAACTAGATTTTTTAGGTGACCAAAACAAACCCGGTCTAAACTCCAGCGCAGAGTTGCGCCTTGCTTACACTCTGCTTAATAGCCTATACACACAAGGGGCTCTATTTTGACGGTCCATGCGCAGAGCGCAAAACGCAGGGCGCAAACACTGTCAGGGCGTCAGGACGCGTTTTTGCTAATTTAAGGACGGGAAATCTGCCTTGCGCTATGGCGCATGGTCTAAAAGGGTTGAGTTTATTTTCTTAATGAATTATAGGTGTGTTTTGAGAATAAACCAATTAGAGTCTCATCTCCCATTCCCTTTAAGACCCAGCTGCGTCGCGCCAAGAGCGCATTCGCTATTTACAGGACGCAAAGTGGAAGAAATTAGCATTTCACAAGCAAACAGTTAACAGTTGACCGTTTTTTTTTAACAGAAAACTGTTAAACAGAGCATCTACTGCGTGAGAATGAGAGGTAATGGAACTACTTTCACATTCGCTCTTGGATAGGGAAACCTTTATGCACAGACATCAATTAGCCTATAAATAATTAATTTCGTTTGTTAAGCGCAAAGATTTGTTTCTAAATTCAGTTCTAATTTCTAGCAAACGAATAAATGAACAATAATGACCAAGTGTGGTCAAAATACTGAGTTATTTCCAAATACACCTGCCATCCCCCATATGGTCTTAAACCTGACAGGTGGGCAAATCTAAGCTTGTTTTTAATAAAACAAATATAAATATGGATACAATACATAATGCTGCTAATAATAATAACATTATACAAAAGCAAATTGTTATAAATGAACTGAAAAAGCCTCCCGAGATGAAGAAGTCATAAAAGCAGTGATTTTTCATATTTATGTAGGCTAGAAAATAATATGTTTTGTAATATTTTAATCCTTTATATTTATATCCTATATCTATTCTTATTATATCATATATATATATCCTTAATATTTAAATTTTTTCCTATGTAAAGATATTTGCCTATTGCTCTCTTGTGCGTATTAAGCAGTGCGTAAGCGAGGCGCAACTCTGCGCCGGAGTTTAGATCGGGTTAGTTTTGGTCTAATGAAAAATCTATTTTAGTTTCTCAAAATAGCAACGCGCCAGCGGTCCGCCTCAGAACGCCTTCCTTTTCAGACCAATAGCAAATGCGCTTATGGCGCGACGCAGTTGGCTCTTAAAGGGAGTGGGAGATGAGACTGATTGGTTTATTCTCAAAACACACCTATAACTCATTAACAAAATAAACTCAACCCTTTTAGACCATGTGCCACGACGCAAAGTGGAGATTCACATCTTTAAAGTAGCAAATATGGATTCTGACATGTCCTAAATGCGTTTGCGCCCTGCGCTTTCCGTTTTGCGCATGGACCTTCAAAATAGAGCCCAGAGACTTCTCTCACTTGCTCTCTCTCTGTGTATGTGAAGCTTCGCCTCTGAACCTACATTTTAACCTAATTTTTCAACAGTATCAAAATAAATCAACATCTAATGCAGTCTCTTGGAAAAAAATACATTATATATATATATATATATATATATATATATATATATATATATATATATATATATATATATATATATTTTTTTTTTTCTCTTTAAAAAAAGCAACTGAAAGGTAAGGGCAGGGTATTCATATACTGATGCTGCAATGACAGCTAAAGCATGAGTCTCACCTCTAAAGTCAGCTCATCAACCTCCTGCTCCTTCTTTTCTCTCTGAACTGTCCCCACACGACTCTGGCTGACCAGTGTGTTCTGACTGTAGGGCCTGACAAACTTCACGTCACTCATCCTTGAGTCTGTGGTCCCACACATTTCATAATTATAAACGTGCTGTAATGTGCCGTCTGCGTAGACCGGAGGATAATATGGAATTACCGGTAGATTTGCTCCTGATTTATAAAACAACTTATTCTGCCTCCATCTGTAGATTTTGACTGAAATGATGGAAATAATGGAGACTACGAAGAGCAGGGAAACCACCGCAAGAGCCAGAACTAAATAAAAAGTTAAGCTGTCATTATATTGTTTCTCATGCGTAAAGTCTGTGAACTCTGACAGCACTTCAGGAAAGCTGTCAGCCACAGCCACGTTAATGGAGACCACAGCTGAGCGAGAGGGCTGTCCGTTATCCTCCACAACAACAGTGAGTTTTTGTTTGACAGCATCTTTATCAGTCACTTGTCGCACAGTTCTTATTTCTCCATTCTGTAAACCCACTTCAAACAGCGCTCTGTCTGCAGCTTTCTGTAGTTTATAGGAGAGCCAGGCATTCTGACCAGAGTCCACATCAACAGCCACCACTTTAGTGACCAGATATCCAACATCTGCAGCACGAGGCACAATCTCAGCCATCACTGAAGCGCCAGTCTGTACTGGATACAGAACCTGAGGAGCGTTGTCATTCTGGTCTTGAATGATGATGTTTAGAGTCACATTACTGGATAAAGGAGGCGAGCCTCCATCTTGAGCTTTGACTTGCATTTTGAATGATTTGAGTTGTTCATAATCAAAAGATTTTTCTGCATAAACTACTCCACTCTCTGAATTTATAGAAATATAAGATGCCAGAGGTGCTCCGTTTAAATCTGCATCGATAAGAAAGTATGAGACCTTTGCATTCGGCCCCCAGTCCATGTCCTCTGCTTTGACAGTCAGAATAGTCGTAGATGGTGGGTTATTTTCAGCTATAAAGGCATTATATGATTCCTGCACAAACTGAGGTGCATGATCATTCACATCTGATATCTTTAAGTTTAAAATCTCTTTAATAGAAAGAGGTGGGTTTCCTCCATCTACTGCAGTTATAGTGATATTATACTCTGCTGTCTGTTCCCTGTCTAGTTCTGAGTCTGTCACCAGGTTGTAATAATTAGTTAATGAAGAAATGATTTTAAATGGAGAGTTCAGATCAATCGAACATGTAATCTTGCTGTTGTCACCTGAATCGAGATCTTGAACATTAATCATGGCTATAACAGTTCCTGGTGCAGCGTCTTCAGATACTGCGCTGGAAAAAGACATTATAGTGATTTTGGGCTTGTTGTCGTTCACATCAATGACGTCAATAATTATCTCACTTGTATCGGTCAAACCCCCGTGATCTTTAGCTTTAACTTTAATTGTAAACTGTTTGTGTTTTTCATAATCTATATCACCCATGACTTTAACCTCCCCAGAATTTGTGTCAATGGAGAACAAAGCTTTTACTGTGGGTGTCGCGTGCTCAAAATAATACTGAATGCCGTGACTAGACTCGTCAGCATCGGTAGCACTGACTTTAGTAACGAGTGTGCCTTTAGCAACGTTTTCAATAACTGATGTTTTGTAAGATGACTGACTAAACACAGGTGCGTTGTCATTAACATCTAGAACAATAATATTAATCAGTAACGTTGCGGACCTTTGCGGTTTTCCACCATCGAATGCTGTCAGAATCAAACTATGATGCTTTTTATTTTCTCTGTCGAGAGGAGAATGAAGAACCATCTCAACGTTTTTATTTCCACCAGCACTTTTCTGAACATTAAGCTTAAAATGGTCGGTGGGTTGAAGAGTGTATTTTTGTAGCGCGTTCACTCCCACGTCTGGGTCTACCGCGCTTTCTAATGGAAATCGCGCACCTACAACCGCTAATTCGCTTATTTCTTGTTCAATTTTAGCTTTTGGAAAGACGGGGCTGTTGTCATTGATGTCTTGTATGTCAACTGTTACTCGATAAAGCTCCATCGGATTCTCCAAAATCACATCAAAACCCACACTGCAGGCAGAAATCTCTCCACAAAGCTCTTCTCTGTCTATTTTATTCCTTATAACCAGATGTCCGTTTTCCTTGTCCAGGCCAATGTACTCCTTGCTGTCCGCGGTGAAAACACGCGCTTTTCCTGAAACCAACCTCTTCGGCTCAAACCCAAGGTCCGAGGCAATATTTCCAACAAACGAGCCCATCTGCATTTCCTCAGGTATCGAATAACGGATCTGTCCGCTCACGCGAGAAGAAAATAAAGCCATTGCGCATAACGCATAGAAGAATAGCGAGCCATGTTTCCAACCTTTTCCTCCCGACTCCATTTTTGATCAACAACGATTGAGATGCTGCATTCAAAGCAAAATACACAAGTTAAAGCCTGTTTCCAACAATTGCTTTTCCGTCTAGATGACAGAACCTGGAGTCAAATCTGAAAGACGATTTGATGATCAGTTACGCACCGTCCAATGGTCTGGGTTGATATCTAAGTTATGCCACTGGGTTTTATTAAAAGGAGGGATAAAACACGCTTTCGAAATTCTATATAGGTTGAACAGCGGCGCTTAGAGTCCAAATACAGCACTACAGAGAAGTCAGGTAATTAAAAAAATATAGAATTTAAAGATTACAATAGTATATATCATAAGTTGTGTTATGAAACTTCAAATTAGAGGAACAATATGTACAGACAGAGTTATAACAAATGGATCACACATTTGACAACCTCAAAAATACTGGGAAATATATTTTAGCTTTAACATAATTTTGTGTGTGTGTGTGTGTGTGTGTGTGTGTGTGTGTGTGTGTGTGTGTGTGTGTGTGTGTGTGTGTGTGTGTGTGTGTGTGTGTTTTTAAAGCCCGCTGACATTTCTGAGATTGCAGTACATAAATTTTGCATCAAATAGTTCCATCTAGAAAACCTTCAAAATTCATTCAGCAGTCCACAATCCATAAAAACAGAGCAATAAAATAAAATAAATAAAATAAAAGTTAATTCTAAATCAAGCAAAGGCAAAAAGCTGTCATTATAGAGAGCCAAAATAAGTGATCACACAGAGAGCATTAAGTAATATTAGGAGCAAATTTTCAAGTAATATTAATACCTAATCCAGCATAAAGTCCAGACAAATGTATGATAGAGTCATCTGATTATTTTTTTTTTTTACATTTTCAATACACTCTCATAAAATACTGAATTTCAGTTGATTTATGATTGAAATTCACAGATTTTTTAAAAATAGGAAGTCATTTTTTTTGTTTAAAGGGATAGTTCACCTTAAAATGATAATTTACTCACAATTTACTCACACTCAAAATTGTTCCAAACAATTATAAGTTTCTTTTTTCTTGTTGAACAATAAAGGAGATATTTTGAAGAAAGCTGAAAACTTGTAACCATTGACTTCCATAAGAAAAAACAAATACTATAGATATCAATGATTACAGGTTTCCAGCTTTCATCTATATATTGTATTGTGTATTCAACAGAAGAAAGTCAAACAGGTTTGGAACAGGTAATTGGTGAGTAAATTTTTGAAACATTTTAAGTTTTGGGTGAACCATCAATTTAATCAATTATAAGATATGTACATGATTGAAATAATTGTATAGCCTACATTGCCCTGAACTTCCTGAAATGACAGAATACATCGATTTGCGACAAGCAGTACTGTCTAGAAAATATTCAAAATCAGTTTAGCTTGAAGACAATCTTTGTTATACTGTGCCATTATTTAAGTTCTGAGAACAGTATGAACGAGAAAAACGACAAAAAGGAGCAAGCAATGAAGCATTAGTTATGCTAAGTTCAGTCTAAACCTGGAAAGAGGTACCACACAAATATCAGAATAGTCAGTAAAAGGTTTATGTTGTATGTCAATTAATAAATCATATGATTTTTATTCACAGATTCATCAATGCCATAAAAAAAATATTTTGCATTGAGTAATGACTTTGAAAACTTAAAAAATCTTCAGCATTGCCAGAATGCAAAACTGTAGAAATGGCAGAAGAATATTAGCTGGATCACAAAGCCTTGATATATACTTAGTCTGCCATAAATTAAGTTTTGAATGAGATAGACTGAAGTAATCTAAGTACAAGGTAGAGAAAAACAATTAAATCCAACATAAAGCATGAGTCAGTGTAAGGTAGATAAATGGATAAAATAACACATGAGTGTAATATAATGGGTTTTCTCTTGAAAAAAGATCACTCAGTGTACAAAGTTCTAAGTCAATTACAAAAATAAGGATGAAAAATAATTCATTTTGCAACCATTGCTATAGACAAACATCAAATCATGGTTTTATAAAGGAGTAAAATATTGAAAAAGCCCATAAAAAGTTTTGAAGCAGACAAACAAACACTCTTGCTCTTCTTCTTATACTGTGTGTGTGTGTGTGTGTGTGTGTGTGTGTGTGTGTGTGTGTGTGTGTGTGTGTTTTCATGACCTATAAGGGAACAAATATGTGTAATAGCTTGGGTATTGCATAAGTGTTGCAAGAAGAATATGACTTATAAGGACATTGCCCCATGTCCACATTTTTCCCAAAAAAGCTTTTAAATCATATATAATGATGTTTTTTGAAAAGGTAAAAATGCAGTTTTCATATAAGTAGTGTTGTATGTAAGGTGATAGCAAATACAATTTGTATAATATAAAAATAATTACACCAATGGAATATATTTAGAATTTACAACACAGACATGATTGTGTGTGTGTGTGTGTGTGTGTGTGTGTGTGTGTGTGTGTGTGTGTGTGTGTGTGTGTGTGTGTGTACTGTAGGTGTGTGTGGGGGCAATTGAGTTTTCTATGCTCTAACTTTGCACTTAAGACACTAAACATGTAGTCCATTTTCTCAAAACAAGACATACAACATCTGCTAACACATACAGATAAAGCTTAATGTCTTACAAATTCTCTATGAGAAGTACAGTACTTTAAGCTTTAAACACCTGCTGCTGCTGTGAGGACATACAGTATGTGGAAGACTCTCACCTCTAAAATCAGCTCATCAACCTCCTGCTCCTTCTTTTCTCTCTGAACTGTCCCCAAACGACTCTGGCTGACCAGTGTGTTCTGACTGTAGGGCCTGACAAACTTTACGTCACTCATCCTTGAGTCTGTGGTCCCACACATTTCATAATTATAAACGTGCTGTAATGTTCCGTCTGCGTAGACCGGAGGATAATATGGAATTACAGGTAGATTTGCTCCTGATTTATAAAACAACTTATTCTGCCTCCATCTGTAGATTTTGACTGAAATGATGGAAATAATGGAGACTATGAAGAGCAGGGAAACCACTGCAAGAGCCAGAACTAAATAAAAAGTTAAGCTGTCGTTATATTTTTTCTCATGCGTAAAGTCTGTGAACTCTGACAGCACTTCAGGAAAGCTGTCAGCCACAGCCACATTAATGGAGACCACAGCTGAGCGAGAGGGCTGTCCGTTATCCTCCACAACAACAGTGAGTTTTTGTTTGACAGCATCTTTATCAGTCACTTGTCGCACAGTTCTTATTTCTCCATTCTGTAAACCCACTTCAAACAGCGCTCTGTCTGCAGCTTTCTGTAGTTTATAGGAGAGCCAGGCATTCTGACCAGAGTCCACATCAACAGCCACAACTTTAGTGACCAGATATCCAACATCTGCAGCACGAGGCACAATCTCAGCCACCACTGAAGCGCCAGTCTGTACTGGATACAGAACCTGAGGAGCGTTGTCATTCTGGTCTTGAATGATGATGTTTAGAGTCACATTACTGGATAAAGGAGGCGAGCCTCCATCTTGAGCTTTGACTTGCATTTTGAATGATTTGAGTTGTTCATAATCAAAAGATTTTTCTGCATAAACTACTCCACTCTCTGAATTTATAGAAATATAAGATGCAAGAGGTGCTCCGTTTAAATCTGCATCGATAAGAAAGTATGAGACCTTTGCATTCGGCCCCCAGTCCATGTCTTCTGCTTTGACAGTCAGAATAGTCGTAGATGGTGGGTTATTTTCAGCTATAAAGGCATTATATGATTCCTGCACAAACTGAGGTGCGTGATCATTCACATCTGATATCTTTAAGTTTAAAATCTCTTTAATAGAAAGAGGTGGGTTTCCTCCATCTACTGCAGTTATAGTGATATTATACTCTGCTGTCTGTTCCCTGTCTAGTTCTGAGTCTGTCACCAGGTTGTAATAATTAGTTAATGAAGAAATGATTTTAAATGGAGAGTTCAGATCAATAGAACATGTAATCTTGCTGTTGTCACCTGAATCGAGATCTTGAACATTAATCATGGCTATAACAGTTCCTGGTGCAGCGTCTTCAGATACTGCGCTGGAAAAAGACATTATAGTGATTTTGGGCTTGTTGTCGTTCACATCAATGACGTCAATAATTATCTCACTTAAGTCTGTGAGATCGCCATGATCTTTGGCTTTAACTTTAATTTTAAACTGCTTGTGTTTTTCATAATCTATTCCGCCTATGACTATAACCTCTCCAGAATCCGCATCGATGGAGAACAAAGCTTTTACTGTGGGTGTCGCGTGCTCAAAATAATACTGAATGCCGTGACTAGACTCGTCAGCATCGGTAGCACTGACTTTAGTAACGAGTGTGCCTTTAGCAACGTTTTCAATAACTGATGTTTTGTAAGATGACTGACTAAACACAGGTGCGTTGTCATTTCCATCAAGGACAATAATGTTAATATGCACAGTCGCAGATCTTTGAGGTCTTCCACCATCGAATGCTGTAAGAATCAAACTATGATGCTTTTTCTTTTCTCTATCGAGTGGTGAATTAAGAACCATCTCGATATTTTTACTCCCATCATCACCACTCTGAACATTAAGCTTAAAATGGTCGGTGGGTTGAAGAGTGTATTTTTGTAGCGCGTTCACTCCCACGTCTGGATCTACCGCGCTCTCTAATGGAAATCGCGCACCTACAACCGCTAATTCGCTTATTTCTTGTTCAATTTTAGCTTTTGGAAAGACGGGGCTGTTGTCATTGATGTCTTGTATGTCAACTGTTACTCGATAAAGCTCCATCGGATTCTCCAAAATCACATCAAAACTTACACTGCAGGCAGAAATCTCTCCACAAAGCTCTTCTCTGTTTATTTTATTCTTGATAACCAGATGTCCGTTTTCCTTGTCCAGGCCAATGTACTCCCTGCTGTCCGCGGTGAAAACACGCGCTTTTCCTGAAACCAATCTCTTCGGCTCAATCCCTAGGTCCAAGGCAATATTTCCAACAAATGAGCCCACCTGCATTTCCTCGGGTATCGAATAACGGATCTGCCCGCTCACGCGAGGAGAAAATAAAGCCATTGCGCATAACGCATAGAATAGTGAGCCATATCTCCAGCCTTTTCCTCCCGACTCCATTTTTGATCAACAAAGATGAAGAGGATGCATTTAAAGCAAAAGGCACAATGAATTGTATTCTGTATGTTTCCAACAAATTGTCTTTCCCTCTAGATTACAGAACCTGTAGTCGAATCTGAAAGGCGATTTGGTGATCAGTTACGCATCGCCCAATGCTCTAGGTTGATATCTAAGTTATGCCACTGGGTTTTATTAAAAGGAGGGATAAAACACGCTTTCGAAATATTATATGTGTTGAACAGCGGCGCTTAGAGTCCAAATACAGCACTACAGAGAAGTCGGTTGATTTAAAAAATATATAAATTTTAAAGAATACAATATTCCTTGTGAGAAATTTTGTTATGAAAGGGCATTCGCCGCATAAAAACTTGCTGGATAAGTTGGCGGTTCATTCTGCTGCGGCGACCCCGGATTAATAAAAAAGGGACTTAGCTGACAAGAAAATGAATGAATGAATACATTTTGTTGATCTGTAAAGCCTGCTGACCTTCCTGAGATCACAGTACTTTTGCATTAAGTAATTCCATCTAGAAAACCTTCAAAATTCATTCAGCATTCCACAATCCATAACACAGGGCAAAATAATCTAAATCAAACAAAGGCAGAAAGCTTTGATTAAAGAGAGTCATAAATAAGTGATCACACAGAGAGCGTAAAGTAATATTAGGAGCTATTTTTTAAGTAATACTTATACCTAATCCAGCATAAAGTCTAGACGAATGTACAATAGAATTATCTGCTTAATTTTTAACATTTTTAATACTCTTTAATAAAATACTGAATTTCAGTTGATGTAATTTATGGTTAAATTCATAGATTTTTGGAAAATGGAAAGTGATTTTTCTTTTTTTTCTTTTTTGCTAAAAGGGATAGTTCACCCCAAATCAAAAATCATCCACTATTTATTAACCCTCAAATGGTTACAAACAATTATACGTTTCTTTATCCTGTTGAACAATGAAGAAGATACAGTTGAAGTCAGAATTATTAGCCCCCCGGCATTATTCTTCCCCCCTGTTAATTTTTTCCCTGTTTCTGTTTAACAGAGAGCAGATTTTTTTTAATCATATTTCTAAACATAATAGTTTTAATAACTCATTTCTAATAACTGATTTATTTTATCTTGATGATTATGACAGTAAATAATATTTTACTGGATATTTTTCAAGACACTTCTACACGGCTTAAAGTGACATTTATAGGCTTAACTGGGTTATTTAGGTAACTACGCGGGTTAGGGTAATTAAGCAAGTTATTGTAAAACTATGGTTTGTTCTGTAGACTATAGAAAAATAAATTAGCCTAAAGGGGCTATTAATTTTGTCCCTAAAATGGTGTTTAAAAAAATTAAAACTCCTTTTATTCAGGCCAAAATAAAACAAATAAGACTTTCCCCAGAAGAAAAAAAATATTATCAGACATACTGTGAAAATTTCCTTGTTCTGTTAAACATCATTTGGGAAATATTTAAATAAAAAAAAAATCAATCATTAGAGGGCTAATAATTCTGACTTCAACTATATTTTAAAGAAAGCTAAAAACCTGTAACCATTGACTTTCATAAGTAAAACAAAAACTATGGATATCAATAATTACAGGTTTCCAGCTTTCTTCTAAATATTGTCTTTTTTGTATTCAACAGAAGAAAGAAAGTGAAATAGGTTTGGAACAGGTAATTAGTTGAGTAAACGATTTAAGCAGTTTCAGTTCTGGGTGAACAATCAATTTAAATGATAAATTATGTACATGATTTAAATAATTGTGCATTGCCCTGAACTTCCTGAACTGACCATATACACAGATTTGCGACAAGCTGTCTAGAAAATATTAAAAATTACTTTAGTTTGCAGACAATTTCTGTCATACTGTGCCATTATTTAAGTTCTAATAACACTGTGAAAGACAAAACGTAAAAAAGGAGCAAGTGCTAAAGCATTAGTTATGCCAACTTCATCCTAAGCTTGTAAAGAGGTACCACACAAATATCTGAATAGTCAGTAAAAGGTTGATGTTGTATGTCAGTTTATAAATCATATGATTTTTATTCAGAGTCATCAGTTCTGTGAAAAAAAAAAGATTTTTACATTGAGTAATGACTTTGAAAACTTTAAAAAATCTTTCAGCATTGCCAGAATGCAAAAATGTAGAAATGACAAAAGAATATTTGCTGGATCACAAAACCTTTATATACTGAGTTAGCCATAAATTAAGTTTTGAATTAGATCAATTGAAGTACTCAAAGTACAACATAGTGAAAATTTATTCATAAATATTTATGGCAAATATAAAATACAACATAAAGCATGAGCCAGTGTGAGGTAGATAAATTATTAAAATAACACATGATTGTAATACTAAGGGGTTTTCTCTAGAAAGAGATCACCCAGTATGTTTTTCGTCAATTACAAAAATAAAGATTAAAAATAATTCGTTTTGTAACAATTGCTATAGACCAGTGGTGTACAAACTCAGTCCTGGAGGGCCAGTGTCCTGCAAAGTTTAGTTCCAACTCCAATCAAACACACCTGGGCAAGTTAATCAAGCTCTTACTAGGCCAGATGTGTCCAAACTCTGTCCTGGAGGGCCGGTGTCCCGCTGATTTTAGCTCCAACTTGCCTCAACACACCTGCAAGGATGTTTCTAGAAAGCCTAGTAAGAGCTTAATTAGCTAGCCCAGGTGTGTCTGATAGGGGTTGAAGCTCAAATCTGCAGGACTCTGGCCCTCCAGGATCGAGTTTAGACATGCCTGTACTAGGCTTTTTAGAAACAACCTAGCAAGTGTGTTGAGGCAAGTAGGACCTAAAGGGCCCTATCATACACCCGGCGCAATGCTGGGCAAGACGCAATGCAATTGTTGTTTGGCAGTTTCAGCTCAACACAAGAGTCATTTTTACGTTTTGCACCACATTGTTTAAATAGCAAATGCATTTGCGCTCATATGTGTGCCCATAGGCATCCTGGTCTAAAAAAGGAGGCGTGTTAAGGTGCATTGCTATTTTGAGGAACTATAATAGGCTGCACAATAGACCAGATCAAAGCTGGTCTAAAGTCCAGCGCAGAGCGCATTAGTTGTGCGCCTCACTTAAACATTGCCTAATGCTTACAGGATGTAAAGCAATACGCAAATATCTTTACAAATGAAAAATAATTAAAGGATTAAAATACCACAAAATTATTATTTTCTAGCCTACATGAAAATAAAAACCGCCCCTCCATGCATTCTTCATCTCAGGTGGCTTTTTTTAGTTTATTCATGACAATTTTCTTTTGTATATTGTTATTATTAGTAACAGTATTATTTATTATATGCATATTTATATTTGTTTTATTAAAAACAAGCTTAGATTTGCCCACCTGTCAGGTTTTAGACCATATGGGGCACAGCATGTGTATTTGGATATAACTCAGTTTTTTTAACACACTTCGAACTTAGAACTGAATTTAGAAATAGTTTTAAAACAAATCTTTGCGCATAATAAACTAAATTAATTATTTATAGGCTAATGGATATCTGTGCATACAACACGTTTCCCTATCCATGAGAGTGAAAGTGATAGTAAAGAATGAAGAGGCTCATCTCTCATTCTTGTTCTGTAGATGCTCTGTTTAACTGTTTTCTCTTTAGTGAAGCCATGGCGCGACACAACTAACTCTTAAAGGGAATGGGAGATGAGACTCTGATTAGTTTATTCTCAAAACACACCTATAACTCATTAAGTGAATAAGCTAAACACTGTTAGACCATGCGCCACGGTGCAAAGCAGATTTTTCCATCCTTAAAATAGCAAAAGTGGATTCATACACACGCTTATTGCTTTTGTGCCCTGCGCTTTGCGCATGGATGGTCAAAATAGAGCCCAAAATCTGCAGGACACTGGCCCTTAAGGACTGAGTTTGGACACCCCTGCTATAGACAAACATCAAATCATGGTTTTATAAAGACGTGAAGTATCAAAAAGGCCCAAAAAGAGTGTTGAAGCAGAGAAACAAACACTCTTCCTCTTACTTTCTCTGTGTGTGTAGCATGTGTGTGTATGGGTGTGGGTGTTTTCAAGATCTATAAGAACAAAATATGTAAATTTACATAGGTATTGTATAGGTGTTACAAGAAGAATGTGATTATTGAAGACATTGCCCTATGTCCATATTTTTTTTCCAAGAGGAGTTTAAATCATATAGAATTATTATAAATTATTTTTATATTAAGGTAAAAATGCAGATTCCATAAATAGTAGTGTTATATGTAAGGTGACAGAAAATACAATTTGTATAATATAAAAACAATCAACCAATGGAATATGCTCACAATTAACAACACAAACATGATTGTGTGTGTGTGTGTGTGGGTGAGTGGGTGTGTGTTTGTCTGTACTGTAGCTGTGTGGGAGAAACTGAGTTCTCTATGCACCATTTTTGCACCTGATACACTAAATGCAGTTCATTTTCTCAAAACATCATATACAACATCTGCTAACACATACAGATATAGGTTGATGTCTTGCAAATTCTCTATATGAAGTACAGCACTTTAAGCTTTAAACACCTGCTGCTGCAGTGAGGACATACAGTATGTGGAAGAGTCTCACCTCTAAAGTCAGCTCATCAACCTCCTGCTCCTTCCTTTCTCTCTGAACTGTCCCCAAACGACTCTGGCTGACCTGTGTGTTCTGACTGTAGGGCCTGACAAACTTCACGTCACTCATCCTTGAGTCTGTGGTCCCACACATTTCATAATTATACACGTGCTGTAATGTGCCGTCTGCGTAGACAGGAGGATAATATGGAATTACAGGTAGATTTGCTCCTGATTTATAAAACAACTTATTCTGCCTCCATCTGTAGATTTTGACTGAAATGATGGAAATAATGGAGACTAGGAAGAGCAGGGAAACCACTGCAAGAGCCAGAACTAAATAAAAAGTCAGGTTGTCGTTATATTGTTTCTCATGCGTAAAGTCTGTGAACTCTGACAGCACTTCAGGAAAGCTGTCAGCCACAGCCACGTTAATGGAGACCACAGCTGAGCGAGAGGGCTGTCCGTTATCCTCCACAACAACAGTGAGTTTTTGTTTGACAGCATCTTTATCAGTCACTTGTCGCACAGTTCTTATTTCTCCATTCTGTAAACCCACTTCAAACAGCGCTCTGTCTGCAGCTTTCTGTAGTTTATAGGAGAGCCAGGCATTCTGACCAGAGTCCACATCAACAGCCACAACTTTAGTGACCAGATATCCAACATCTGCAGCACGAGGCACAATCTCAGCCACCACTGAAGCGCCAGTCTGTACTGGATACAGAACCTGAGGAGCGTTGTCATTCTGATCTTGAATGATGATGTTTAGAGTCACATTACTGGATAAAGGAGGCGAGCCTCCATCTTGAGCTTTGACTTGCATTTTGAATGATTTGAGTTGTTCATAATCAAAGGATTTTTCTGCATAAACTACTCCACTCTCTGAATTTATAGAAATATAAGATGCCAGAGGTGCTCCGTTTAAATCTGCATCGATAAGAAAGTATGAGACCTTTGCATTCGGCCCCCAGTCCATGTCCTCTGCTTTGACAGTCAGAATAGTCGTAGATGGTGGGTTATTTTCAGCTATAAAGGCATTATATGATTCCTGCACAAACTGAGGTGCGTGATCATTCACATCTGATATCTTTAAGTTTAAAATCTCTTTAACAGAAAGAGGTGGGTTTCCTCCATCTACTGCAGTTATAGTGATATTATACTCTGCTGTCTGTTCCCTGTCTAGTTCTGAGTCTGTCACCAGGTTGTAATAATTAGTTAATGAAGAAATGATTTTAAATGGAGAGTTCAGATCAATAGAACATGAAATCTTGCTGTTGTCACCTGAATCGAGATCTTGAACATTAATCATGGCTATAACAGTTCCTGGTGCAGCGTCTTCAGATACTGCGCTGGAAAAAGACATTATAGTGATTTTGGGCTTGTTGTCGTTCACATCAATGACGTCAATAATTATCTCACTTAAGTCTGTAAGATCGCCATGATCTTTGGCTTTTACTTTTATTTTAAACTGCTTGTGTTTTTCATAATCTATATCACCTATGACTTTCACCTCACCAGAATCTGTGTCAATTGAGAACAAAGCTTTTACTGTGGGTGTCGCGTGCTCAAAATAATACTGAATGCCGTGACTAGACTCGTCATTATCGGTCGCACTGACTTTAGTAACTACTGTGCCTTTAATAGCATTTTCATTAACTGATGTTTTGTAAGATGACTTGCTAAACACAGGTGCATTGTCATTAACATCTAGAACAATAATATTAACATGCAGCGTTGCAGATCTTTGTGGTTTTCCACCATCAAAAGCTGTCAGAATTAAACTATGATGCTTTTTCTTTTCTCTATCGAGTGGTGAATGAAGAACCATCTCGACATTTTTACTCCCATCATCACCATTTTGAACATTAAGCTTAAAATGGTCGGTTGGTTGAAGAGTGTATTTTTGTAGCGCGTTCACTCCCACGTCTGGATCTACCGCGCTCTCTAATGGAAATCGCGCACCTACCACCGCTAATTCGCTAATTTGTTGTTCAATTTTAGATTTAGGAAAGACGGGGCTGTTGTCATTAATGTCTTGTATGTCAACTGTTAATCGATAAAGCTCCATCGGGTTCTCCAAAATAACATCAAAACTCACACTGCAGGCAGAAATCTCTCCACAAAGCTCTTCTCTGTCTATTTTATTCTTGATAACCAGATGTCCGTTTTCCTTGTCCAGGCCAATGTACTCACTGCTGTCCGCGGTGAAAACACGCGCTTTTCCTGAAACCAATCTCTTCGGCTCAAACCCTAGGTCCGATGCGATTTTTCCAACAAATGAGCCCTCCTGCATTTCCTCAGGTATCGAATAACGGATCTGTCCGCTCACGCGAGGAGAAAATAAAGCCATTGCGCACAACGCATAGAAGAATAGTGAGCCATATCTCCAGCCTTTTCCTCCCGACTCCATTTTTGGTAAACAAATATCGAGGGCAAAGATTCGATGCGAAATGCTCGCTGAAATTGCCTGTTTGACAACAAGTTGCGTTTCCGTCTACAGAACCTGGTGTTAAATAGGAAAGACGATTTGGCGATCTGTTACGCAGCGTCCAATGTTCAGGAATGATATCTAAGTTATGCCACTGGGTTTTATTAAAGGGAGGGATAAAAAGCACTCAAGGCAACATAGGTTCAACAGCGGCACTTGGAGTCCAATTACAGCACTACAGAGAAGTAGCGACATAAAAAAATAGATATTTAAAGACTACAACTTTCCTTAAAAAAACTTAATAAGGTGTGTTATGACACTGCACATGTATTAACAATAGGAAAAATCGTAATAACAAATGGATTACAAATTATAGAGCATCAGAATTAAGAGAAATCGGTAAGGGATTTTTCGGCTTTAACACTATACAGTTGTGAAATATTTTTATTTTTTTTAAGGCTAACATTGCACTGAACTATATATATATATATATATATATATATAATCTGCATTGCTACATTGGCACAATCCAAAACAAAAGGCAAAAAGGCAGAGTAAATATGTATATATCACAAAGCAATGATTATATAACCATGAATGAACTTGTATTAGGGATCACACAAGGCAGGGAAGTAACACCAGCCACTAAATTTTAAGCAATGTTATACCAAATCCAGAGTACAGCCCTAATAAATGTAAAATAAAATGATTTGATTAATTATTGTTATTTTTGTTCATACATTACAATAAACATCTTATTTCATTTAATGAAGCATAACTAAAATTCAAAGATCTTTGGAAAAACAAAGTTATTATTTTTTTTTTGCTAAAACATTTATAATTTAAATGGGCAATATAGGTTTTATAGCCTACGTGGCCCTAACCTCTTGATTTTGCATCAAGCAGTACCATTTAGAAAACATTCAAATTTATTTGAGCTTTTTGACATTCTCTGTTATACTGTACCATTATTAAGCTCTATATATATCACTGGAAAGGGAAAATTGCAAAATAGAACAAGTGCTGAATTATGAATGCCAAGTTCAGTCTAAAGCCTGGAAAGATGTACCACAGAATTAGTAGACTAATCAGTCAAATGTTGTCATATGATTTATATTCACTGATTCATCAGTGCAGTAAAAAAACATAAAATGATTTTGTATTGAGTAATAACTTTAAAAATTTGACAAAATTGTCAGCATGACCAGAATGCAAAATTGCAGAAATGGCAGAAAAATATTTGCATAATCACAAATCCCTGTGAGCCAGAAATTAAACTTTGTTTTATTCACTTGGAGTAAACAAAGTACAAAAATAGAGCAAATTACGAATAAATATTTACGTAAAATCTAACATAAAGCATGAGCCAGTGTGATATAGATAAATGATTAAAATAACATGAGTGTAATACTCTGGGTTTTCTCTCGAAAAAACTCAGCCAGTAAACTAGGTTTTATCTCATTTTAAATAAGCATTTATATAAATTAGTAAATTAGCCTATATCTAAATTGGAAGAGTAGCAACCGACAATCATCAAATTAGGATTTTATTAAGGTCTTGAAGCAGAGATACAAGCTCTCCCTCTCTCTCTCTCTCTCTCTCTCTCTCTCTCTCTCTCTCTCTCTCTCTCTCTCTCTCTGTTTGTGTGTATACAGTTGAAGTCAGAATTACTAGCCCTCCTTTGATTTTTTTTTTTTTTTTTTACATTTCCCAAATGATGTTTAACAGAGCAAGGACATTTTCACCTAGTTAACCTAATTAAAGTGGTGAGACCTTTAAATGTCACTTTAAGCTGTATACTAGTGTCTTGAAAAATAACTAGTAAAATATTATTTACTGTCATCATGACGAAGATAAAATAAATCAATTATTAGAAATAAGTTATAAAACTATTATGTTTAGGAATGTGTTGAAAAAAATATCTCCATTAAACAGAAATTGGGGGTAAAAATACAGACGGGCTAATTATTCAGGGGGGCTAATACTCCTAATTTCAACTGTGTGTGTGTGTGTTTATATATATATATATATATATAATTTTTTTTTCATTGAATCATTTTTTTCACCTTAGTCCCTTGAAACCAAAGCACCCAGAAGAAACCAATGCAAACACAGGAAGAACATCAAAACTCCACACAAAAATGCCAACTGACCCAGCCGAGGCTCAATCCTGCTACCCACTGCGACACTGTCACCCCATAAATATAAACTGTTAAGCATTGACTTCCATATGTTTTTATTATGTACAGTTGAAGTCAGAATTATTAGCCCCCTACAAATTATTTTCCTCTTTTTTTAAATATTTTCCAAATGATGTTTAACAGAGCAAGGACATTTTCACAGCATGTTTGATAATGTTTTTTTTTTCTTCTGGAGAAAGTCTTATTTGTTTTATTTTAGCTAAAATAACAGCAGTTTTTAATTTTTAAACACTATTTTATGGTCAATATTATTAGCCACTTTAAGCCATATATTTTTTGATAGTCTACAGAACACACCCTCCTTATACAATAACTTGCCTAATTTCTCTAACCTGCCTAGTTAACCTAATTATCCTAGTTAAGCCTTTAAATGTCACTTTAAGCTGAATAGAGGTGTCTTGAAAATTTTCCAGTAAAATATTATTTACTGTCATCATGGCAAAGATAAAATAATTCAGTTATTAGAAATAAGTTATTAAAGCTATTATGTTTAGAAATGTGTTGAAGTAGAGCTGGGCGATATGGCAAAAAAAATTATCCCGATAATTTTTTTCATATCAGTCAATATCGATATTTATCACGATAAACGTAAAATCTTTATATCTATCAATTTTACAAGATTTTCAGTATGCTAATCGCTTTGTGCAGCTGATTTAACACATTAGGGAAATGTTTTAGCTGTCTGACAATATAAATAATAAAATAATAATCTAAAGAACAATCCTAATTCAGCATTTACTGTTCTAGTTTTCAACAACCAAAGACATTATAAGTTAGGATATTATTGTTTAACATCAGAAAAAAAAAAAAAAACGGTTTGGAAAAAGTAAAGGTGAGTTAATGGTCACAGAATTTTCAGTTTTCACATTGTAGTAAGTCAGGATACCCGAGTAAACAACAACAATTAAATAAATACTTCTAATATAGACTAGTCAAAAAAAAAAAAACTATTATCCTTAGTGCAGCCATCTTAACTGAGTAAACTAAAATTAAATAAATAACTGCAGTGTAGACTAGTGAAAGATAAACAAGCTTGTCCTCTCTAAGGACATTTGGAATATTTAATTAAGTTTTAAGTTCTTCTTCAAAAACTCCGTAATGTCCACATTCTCAGGTGAGAAGCTTGATCTCTGTGCAGATACAGACATAGAGATGCTCGTTTTTGATTAAGTTTTTTATTTAGATAGATAGGTTTCCGTTTAAATTAATGGAAATACATATACTGTGTTTGTATAGTGTTTTTAAATGACATATTCACCAGTAAATTACATTGCAGTTTTGTTTAAAATTAATTTTACTGTTGTAGCCATAAAGGTTGTATTTTTGCCTCCCGTTAGTGATGCGTATATGGCGGTTATATATCCGAGCGCTGCAGATAATCCACGGGTCAAGTAATAAAAAAATACATTATAATTAGCTAATTGCAGGTCGGTTGTGGGTATATAGCGGGACATGGCAGTGGATCAGCGAAAAAGCAGAGAGTGGGCTTTGCAGAATGGGAAGAAATGAGACGCCCAATAATGAAGAGTAAGGCAGTTAGACGATTCAGAGAAAAATCTGCCATCGTCCTGGGAGAAACAAGATCGCTTATTTCCACGACTGCAGCGCCTTGCGAGGAGAATCATTCACGCGGTGCAAGCGCACGCCTTCACTGCAGTCTGCAGCTGGCCGCGTTTCGGAGGCTTGGCGGAGATGGCGCGGCCGCGCGGGGATATGAAAAGCGGAGAGCGCGCTTTTTCCTTTGATCTGGTTTTTGGTGTATTTAGCTGACATGATTTTGATTTTCGTAGTTTTTGCTTAACTTTCGTTTGGGTAAAATTATTTTGCCTTATTTTTTTTTCAATTTGAGACATTGGGCCCTATCATACACCCGGCGCAGTGTGGCGCAAGGCGTGGCGCAGTAGTTTTTTGGTATTTCAGCTTGGTGCAAGAGTCGTTTTGAAGCGTTGCGCTGCGCTGTTTAAATGGCAAATGCATTAGCGCTCATATGGGGCACAACATGTGTTTTAGGATACAACTCAGGTTTTTGAGCACATTTTGCTATTATTATTCATTTATTCGTTTGCTGGAAATTAGAACTGAATTTAAAAATAGTTTTGAAACGAATATTTGCGCTTAACAAACAAAATTATTTATTTTTAGACTAATTGATGTCTGTGTGTAAAGGTTTCCCTATCCAAGAGCGAAAGTGAAAGTGATCCATTATCTCTCATTCTCACGCAGTAGATGCTCTGTTTAACAGTTTTCTGTTAAAAAACTGTTAACTGTTTGCTTGTGAAATGCTCATTATTTCCACTTAGACTTACTTTGCGTCCTGTAAATAGCGAATGCGCTCTTGGTGCGACGCAGCTGACTCTTAAAGGGAATGGGAGATGAGACTCTAATTGGTTTATTCTCAAAACACACCTATAACTCATTAAGAAAATAAACCCAACCCTTTTAGAACATGCGCCGCGGCGCAAGGCAGATTTCCCGTCCTTAAATTAGCAAAAACGCGTCCTGACACGCCCTGAAAGCGTTTGCGCTCTGCGTTTTGCGCTCTGCGCATGGACCGTCAAAATAGAGCCCATTTAGTGAGTTTTGTTCATATATATTTAGATTGATTTGTATGTTATTTTTTGGCTAGGCTCTTTCCCGACAATATTGAGATTTATCTCCTTAAGTTAACTCTTTTCTCAGAGTAAGGTGGATAGGGAAGATGTTGTACGACTTCCATTCTGCAAACACGTAGAAAATGTATTGTTAAAGACATCAGGTAAGACGATGAACGTCATCTTTATATTTATTTTGTAGGGAAGAATGCGGCGCACTGCGCTGAAGGACTTTTTTTCTTTTCATCTGTTTTTAGAGAGGTAAGAGGGGTTAGTCATGCATTAGAATTGTTTTGTTATATTTTTTTCTTTTTTGGGGCTTCACTATTGTCCCCTTACTCGAGTTTATCTAATTTTTGTTAGATACTTTGAATTTGCTACTATATTATTTTTTATTAGTGTAAATGTTGTAGTGTA